GGCATCTGCTCTGGGCTCCGCAACCTCAGAAAAGCTACCTTGTTCCCAAGACCAGATGTTGCACGGGTAGATTTCCGATGTGGGTGAAAGGGGCCTCAAGTTATCCTTTAACTCCCTCCGTCCTCGTGACTTCCTCACCTGAAAAGGAAAGTTGCCAACCAGGGAGGAGGGAGGAGGGACAGGGAGGGTGGGAGAAGGATGGAGGGGGGGTGGGAATGTGAGCAAGGTACAGGGGTACAATGAAAATTTGAAACCCATCATTTTGAAGGGTGTTGTAATCTTAGCACTCAGGAGGTGGAAAGAGGAGGATCAGGAGTTCAAAGTCCTCCTCAGCTGCACAGGGGGTTCCAGGTTAGCCTGATAAGTTGACCGGATGTCTTAACTGCTGGGGCTACTGTGACAAATCACAGCAGTGGCAGACCTTAGAAATCAACACGCTTTTCTGATGCTTCTGAAGCCTGGAAGCCCAAGCTCTACTGCCAGCAGGCGTGGATGTCCTCTGAGGATGCCCTCGGTGGCTTGCGGGTGGCCACACCGCAGGAGCCTCTGGGCATGCATCTCACAGCTGGCCTCAAACTCGCTATGCAGCCAAGGATGACCCCAAAGCTACCCATCTTCACCTTTGAGTGCTGGGAGTCCAGGTGTATCTCCCCTCACTACTGCACCTGTTCGCATGGTACAGGAGACCGTGGGACTCCAGGTGTGCTCCCACACACACACACACACCTGCTCACACGGTGCAGGAGATCCTGGGATTCCAGGTGTGCCCCCCCATACCTGCTCACACGGTGCAGGAGATCCTGGGACTCCAGGTGTGCTCCCACACACACACACATACCTGCTCACACGATGCAGGAGATCCTGGGACTCGAGGCATGCCCCACCCCCGCACCTGCAGAAGATCAACCCGGAGCATGTTCACCGAGTCCTGCCCAGAGTCCTAGGGTTTCAGATGGAGACCCTCATGGATGGGTAAGGGCTTCGTGCGGCTGAGAGCGAGGATGGGCTGTGAAGGGGGTGCTGAGGCACCAGCGCTTCCATCCCTGGTCAGATGCCGGCATCTATGTTACCGGTAAATTCTGACTTCACTGCTGTCTTCTGATGTGTGGCATCACTGAGAACATGACAGCGGTCCAACCTGTACCGTTTACCCTTGCTTGCCTCCTTAAAACTGAGCTTCAGGACGCTCACACTGGAGGTCATGACTTATCCTCTGGGTGTGGGTGGAGGGAACACGGTTCAGGGCTTCCCCGCTAGGATCGAGATGACTTTTTTTTTCTACACATTAATAAACAGGGTTTTCCAGAGAGTGGAGGGAGAACACTGACAGGTTGGTATAAAGAAAGCCAGCCACTTGGAAATCCTTGCTGTAGGGTGCAGTGGGAACAGGGACAGGGATGCAGGGAAGGAGAGCTGTAAGGGATGCTGCAGGAAGGCGCAGCTCTGCATGGCTCCTGGTCCTTCTCCTGGAGCACCCTCCACAGTGAAGACATGAGGGAAGCCTAGCTCCTCAGGCCGACATTGCTCCTTCCTCTATGCCCAGCTTTCTAAACTCCCCATCATCACAGGCCAGCAGGTCTGTGTCCTTGCCAAAACCTACACCAACCGTGCCTTAATTACTTGGGAGTTGTTGCAGCTGTTTCGAGACAAGACCTCATTTTGCAGCCCAGGTTGGCCTCCGAGTAGCAGCAATCTCTGACTTCAGCCTCTTAAGTGCCCGACCCCAGGTATGAGTCGCTGTACCTGAGAATGAACAATTAAGTCAGGTCAGGCATTTAAGTCATACCTACAAGAAGACAACAATTAAGACCATTAAGATGGGGGTTAATTATTATTACATAGTCAAGGCTGTGGTGGTTTGAATGGGAATGGCCCACAGAGCTCATATGCTTGAATACTTGGACCCCAGTTGGTTGAACTGTTTGGAAAGAATTAGGAGGTGCGGTTTGTCAGAGGTGGCCTGTCACAGGGGGGGTGGGGGGAGGATTTGGGGGTTTCAAAAGCTTTTCCCAGGGTTCTCTGCCTCCTACTTTTGGATCAAGATGTGAGCTCTCAGCTGTTCATGCCTCCATGCCTTCACTTTCTGTTATCACAAATCTAACCCCCCGAAACCATAAGCTCAATTAAATCCTTTCTTTTATAAGTTTATTAGACACGTGTTTATCACAGCAGCGGTAAAGTGACCCAGGCAAGGGGGGAGGGGCAGAGCAGGGATGCACGTGTGTGTGTGTGTGTGTGTGTGTGTGTGTGTGTGTGTGTGTGTGTGAAGTGACTGAGGGAAGGAGGAGGGGCAGAGCAGGGATGCAGCTGGGGGCCAGCTTTTTAGCTGAGTATTGCGGCATGTACCTAGGAGCTTAGAAGTTCCAGCTTGGGAGGCTGAGATGAGAACTTAGGTGTTCTAGTCTAGCATGGGCTACATAGTAGGACCCCATCTCAAAAATAAGGTGAATAGTTAAGTGACAACTGCTGGTTTATTTTAGAATAAATAACTAGAAGTAATTTAATCAGGGGCTGGAGAGATGGCTCAGTGGTTAAGAGCACTGGCTGCTCTTCCAGAGGACTTGGATTTGATTTCCAGCATCCACACGGTGGCTCACAATCGGTACCTCTAGTCTCAGGAGACCTGGGATCCACTGCCCTCTTCTGGCCTCTTGGGGGTTCAGGCATGCATGTGGTGGTGATTGTACAGGCAAACACTTATATACATAAAATAGCAAAAATAGGGGTTTTTAAAGAAATAATTTAAACTGGGTGGTGGTGGTGCACGCCTTTAATCCCAGGACTCAGAGGCAGAGGCAGGTGGATCTCTGTGAGTTGGAGACCAGTATGGTCTACAGAGTGAGTTCCAGGACAGCCAGAGCTGCCAGGCAGGCAGGCAGGCAGGCAGGCAGGCAGGCAGGCAGGCAGGCAGGCAGGCAGGCAGGCTGGAAAGAGGCTCAGTAGTTAAAAGTGCTTACTGCCTTGCTGAGGTCACAAGCCTGGTTCCCAGGACCAACATCAGATGGCTCATACCTTCCTATAATTCCAGTTCCAGACCATCCACGGCCTCTTCTGGTCTTCATTATGCTGCATACACTGCAAACACCACACACACACACACACACACACGGATGAGGTACTGTTTGTTGCCTTCAGGTGCCCACAGCAGGCTTGCCTCCCTTCCTACTCTAAAATAGAACGCTCCATGAGCTCAGAGTGCCTCTCCTAAATATTGTGTTCCTCTGTGTGTGTGGGTATCCACCCGGACAGCTGCCACCACCCCGTGGGGACAAGGAACTGGCACAAGTGTGTTGACACTCATTACAGAGCTCTATCAGCTGCAGCACCCGTGGACAGGACAAGCTCACTCCTCAGCCCTCTGCAGGTGAGTCAGGGAGGCAGGCACTCCCAGTGCCAGTGCACGCGCAGGGAAGTGTGTGTGTGTGTGTGTGTGCATGCGTGAGTGTGTGCTGGAGGAAGAGGAAGTGGTCAGAATGCAGGGGAAAGAAAAAGGGGACCATCGTGTTGAGAGCAAGCTCACAGACAGACCAGGGAGCAGAGGAAGCTCCCGGAGTTAAAGCCGTACAGCTGCGGCTCAGGGATTGCTCTTTGTGTGCGTGGGAGGGTGAGACGAAGACAGACAGAAAGGGATCGATGGGCACAGGGTGATCTCCAGGCCCCAACTGGAGATGGAGTTGTGTCAGCAATGAGCATCGATGAGACTGTTTAGATCCCAAGTGGGAGAATCTTGGCCAGATCCAAAACAGGAGCACAAGGGTGAGTGAGCTGAGTGTGGCTGGGGAGATGGCTTGACCCGCAGACCACTTGCCTAGTATGTGTGAAGTCCCTGAGTTCGATCCCCAGCATCTCATCAACGAGACATGGCGGAACATCCCAGCCCTTGGCCAGTGGAGGCAGGAGGATGCTCAGGTCATCTTCAAATACAGAGCCAGGCCAGGATGTGTGGGACATGTCTCAGCAACAACAAAACAAAATAAAACAAACAAAAACATAAAAGGGGGGCTGTGGGAATGGCTCAGTGGCTAAGAGCACATAACGGCTCTTGCAGGAGACACAGCTCAGTCCCCAGCTCCCATGACGGGCAGTTCACAGCTGCCTGTGACCCCAGCTCCAGGGAGATCTGAGTCCTCAGGCCTCTGTGGGCACCTGCACTCACATCCACGTATGCATAATTCAAAATAAACCTTTAAAAAAGTTAGCAGAAATGAACGTGAAACAAGGTTGGGTGGGTTTGAAACAGCGGCGGATCTGGGCGGAGGCGGGTGGATGACCATGATCAAAATACAAAGTGTGAAATCCCCGAAGAATTAATAAAAATAAAAAACAAAAATCAGAAACTGAAGTGGGGCAGAATGAGGGCAAAGAGCTGACCTGGGTAGCCCCCGATGTAGCTGATGGGGCATAGGGAAAGGGCCAATGTCTGAGAGCCCGTGAGGAACCGCTACCTCTCTGTAATCCCTTGGCCTCTGCAGGGGAAGGTGAGCAACCAGGGAGGCCAGGAGGAAACAGAAAAGGAACTAAGGAGTGGGCTTTGGCTACTGACATTTTCAGTATGGTGTTCCTACCTCAGTGGACAAAACATCCTCCTAAGAACCTCCTGTGATGTGTGCCCCTCAGCCGGGACCGAGACCATGCTGAGGCGAAAGACAGCAAGGACACTGAGCCTGCACCCCAGTACTGCCCAGTGAGTACCAGATGCTTTTGAAGATGGATAGAAAGATGAGGGGCTTTCACAGATTGCCTGAGACCCCTACTAATGAAAGCTTGAGGCCTGACTTGTGTTCTGCTGGCCTCTGAGGCTGCAGATTCTCATCTCGCTGGGGTGGGGGTGGGGGGATATCTGACACAGCCCCCGGCCATCACCAGGTCTGCCCCAGGCAGCAGTCCCTGAGACTTGCAATGCAGGCTTCCTTGTGATCAGCTGGTCTCCAGCCTGGAGCTTCTGAGCTTGCTTGCCACAGCATCTAAAGACAGGAAGCCAGATGCTATTGGCTAACTTCGCAAATAAAGATGCCCTCAGAGAGAGGGAAGTGTTGGCCTCTGGTGGAGTTTGCGTGGGACTGGGGGACTGAGTGGCACTTCGTTCCCATCTGCCCAGGTAAGTGCAGAGGACTCCTCCCACACCTCCCACACACAGTAACCAGGTTACTGACTTTGTTTGCCTTCTGTGTTCATTTTCCTGAAGATGCAGATAAAACAGGGGGGTGGAAGATAAGAAGTCTTTGAGGTGTGAGTAATTCCACTTTAGGATTGTGAAGAAAGGTTGAACACTATCAGAAAAGAGGGGAGAGGGGCCTGATACAAAATCACATTTGGTGATAGGAAATATTGATTTTTTTTTTGGTTTTGGTTTGGTTTTGTGGTTTTTCAAGACACGGTTTCTCTATAGCTTTGGAGCCTGTTCTGGAACTAGCTCTTGTAGACCAGGCTGGCCTTGAACTCACAGAGATCTGCCTGCCTCTGCCTCCCGATTAAAGGTGTGCACCACCACTGCCTGACTGGAAATGTTGATGTTTTTAAAGATTAAAATTTGTACTGTCAGTCAGACTTTGCGGTTCATGCCTCTAATCCCAGCGCTTGGAATGCTGCAGGAGGGGGATTGCTGCAAGTTTGAGACTAGAATAGGCTCTGTGTGAGTTCCAGGCCAGCTGGGGCCTCCCTGGGAGCCTCTTATCTCAAGCAAACACTAACAACTGTAAACATTAGTGTTGATGGTTTTTATTTCTTGCTTTAAAAAGCACTTATTCCTCAGAGACCCACACAGGAGTGTTTATAGATGAAATTAGTCTCATTGAGCCATAAAGTAGGAGATGAACGAAATGATAACTGAGTTGATAATCCCTAGATCTGAGTGGCAGGCACTCAGCAGTTTCCCTGATGGTACCCAGGCTTGAGAATATAAAAATGAGGATGCAATTCTGAGAATGTAGCTCGGCTGATAGAGTGCTAAGTGCTTGCCTAGAGTGCAAGGAGCCCCGGGTCCAATCCTCAGTACTACGCGTAGTACGTTAGGCACGATGGCCTGCTGTGCCTGCCGTGCCTGTGGTCCCAGCACTCAAGAGGAAGAGACAGGAGGGTCAGAAGCTCAAGGTCGGCCTTGGTACCTAGGAATTGTGAGGCCAGCCTGGGCTTTACGAGACCCTATCTCTAATAACAATAATGATGGTGATCAATGTTCAAACTGACTTTAGCGTTTTTACTGAAATACACATTTATATGGAGAAAAACTAAAAGAATATTATGCCCGAATCTGCAAGGCTGCATAGTTTTATGGATTTTTTCCCCTTTTCTTAAATTCCACTCTGGTAACATCTTCAGTTGTTATAATGAATATTTTTTGCATTTATAATAAACTTGGCGCAAACTCATTCCTCACTTTCATAAATGCTCATAACCGTGTCTCAGGACTCAGGCGTCTGAGCCACTAGGAAAGGTGGTCTTCGGAAGGAAATGGTAAGAACAGACCTTGTCCCTGCTTGACACAGGCAGACCCTTCCAGAGGCCCCCTGAGAACAGCTGCAGCTGGCTTTCCCTCAAGGGTTGTGTTATCATCTGGCAAACACAGACCCCAAGTGCCTGCAGCCTTGCTCTGGGCGTTTGTAGCCCAGTCCTGAGAAAGGCTGAGAGTTGGGAATCCTCCCTGCCTTCTCCCTTTTCCCTCCCTACCTCCAAATTCCCCTAATTTTTTTTTCTGTCCCAACTAGTTGAAATATAATACTTGAGGTAGGAAGAAATTGAGTCAAACGTAAAGATGCTCAGGCCATAAGAAAACACTCTGCTCAGGCAGGTCATAAGGGGACTCTGAGCCTACGGGGAGAAAACTAGGCTAGAGCAGGCCCTGACCTGTTGAGCCTTGGGCACTGTGAGAGCCAGCAGGGTGGGGGCAGTGACTGGACTCAGGGGCTTCTGGAAAACAGAAATAGCCCCAGGAAAGAGTGTAGGGTGACTTCCGGAGGAAGTGATCATAGGTCACTCACCACAGATAGGACCCCTGGGGCAGCAGGGACAACCCATACCCAAGCCTAGTCCAGTGAAGCTATAAATCTATGGGGGTTACTACGGGGCTGTACGCTTGAGTTAGTGGAGCTCACCCCGGTGGGTGCCCACTCATCAGAGCTGCGTCCTGGGAGCTCCTCCGCCAATTGCAGGCAGCTACTCGAAGTAAGACTCCTCTCCCCAGGAGATGGCCTGCAGCTTTCTGACAGGGAGTAGAAATCCTGCAAGTTTACCTGAATCCTGTGTGCCTCGCTCCTCCCACGTGAGAACAAAACTAGCCACACAACAAAGGCCAGAGTGGCTTCTCTTCCCCTGCCCCTCCGATTGGCTTGGTTTTACAGATGGATGCTGGGACAGAAAAATAGTGTCAGGCCCAGGCTGACCAACCTGGCCCTTCATGTACCTGTTTCCTGGGAAGAACCTAGCCATGCTAATCCGGTTAAAACCTACCCACCCTGCACTTTGGCTGACCCCATGGCAGAGAGAGGACAGGGGAAGGGGTGTTGCTGGTCCTTGGGATGCTGCAGTCCAGACTTCGGACTTTGGACAATTGCCCTTGGCAATACTGCACAGTGCTTGACTGTACCAAGTAGGTAGGACCCAGGCAGGGGAGTGCATAGTGAAGGTTAGAGTGTGGTATTTAAAGTCCCAAACACACTGAATGGACCGTCTTTGGCTCTTCAAAAGCAGTAAGGGCTTGCAAGGGGGATAAAGGCACCTGTGACGAGCTTGACTGCTTGAGTTTGAGCCTGAGAGACGCATGGTAGAAGGGAAGTCCTGGCGCCCTCAAGATGTGCTCTGATCACATATTGCAGCATGTGCAATTACGTACACACATACATATAAAATAAAAAATAAATAAATGCACTTTTAAAAACAGTTTCTGTCTGCTGCTTCAGGGAGAGTGAAGCTCCATGACTTCAGGGATCTTAACATCACTGACTACTCCCAAAGGAGTTGTTAAGGACCCCAAGTCATAGGACCAGGCGAGAAGACATGCTAGGACTGACCCAGTTCCAAATCAACTTTTAGTTCCTTCTTCTCCCAAGCCCACTGTGCAAGGGTGGCCATGTCAGGCACGGTCTGCCCAGAGAAGCCACTTGTGCCTCCCCAACCCAGCCAGCCCGGAGTCCTAAGCCTGAAGACTTCCAAACCAGGCCCTCAGAATGAGCTGCGAACTCACACTGCTCCAAAGCAGGCTGGAGAGGGGTGGGGTGGGGCGATGGGGCCCGAGCCCTAGCCAACCTTGATGACAGGTGCCCAGGTGTCTCAGAAGTGGGAGATCTTTAGGTCATCATTAGGTCATTTCCTACCCAGGAAAACCAAAGGAAGCCTAGGGTTTCTGACTGAGCCTGGGGTCAGCCTTTCCTCCCGGGGGCACCTAAAGTGTAAACCGCCTAGCAGGCTAAAGACCAAGTTCCATCCCCAGAACCCACGTGAGAAACCCTGGTGTGGCCATGTGTGCTGTAAAGTCAGCGCTGAGGAGGGAGAAATGATCCCTGGGGCTCACAGGCCAATCAGCCTGGACTACCCGGAAACTTCCAGGACAATGAGAGACCCTGTCTCAAGAAAGAAGGTGGGAAGTGCCAAGGAATGATACACACACGCACAAGTAGGTTTGCCCACACACATACATTGCACATGCTTACATCCCCATACTCACAAGCACACACATGCAAACACACACCACACCTATGCAAATACCACACACATGCACAAACCGCACACATACACATGACACACACAATACATACATACACACACCACACCACCCCACACAATGAAAAGAACCTCGCTAGGACCCCCAAAGCCCCCCTCACACCCCTGCCCTTACCCAAATGTTACTGGAAGTTGCCCCTCCATGTAGCAGACACAGAACTCAGTAACTCATCAATATTTCCAGAATGCAATTCTGTAAGAGAGTGACGGCCAGACAACGGGACTAGTGGGAATAAATGAGCAGCTTGCAGAAACGGAAGGCAGATTATGTAAGCCTTTCCTGCATGCACCGGGTCGCATCCAGACATCTGTCTGTCTCAGACGTCTGTCTGTCTGTCTCAGATGTGTACTCCATCCTCAAGGCAAGAATCATTTGCAAAGCTGTTGGTTTCTGCACCGAGTGCAGTAAATGAGCTCACGCGGTGGAAGATGGTTTGGCCCCACTGCGCTAGAGGGGACTTCAGTGTCTGCTTCAAAGTCCTCAGGAATTTTTTTTAACAGGGTCTCTGCACAGCCCTGGCTGTTTTTGAACTCGCCCTGTAGACCAGGTTGACCTTGAATTTACAGAGATCTTTCCCACCTCTGCCTCCCGAGTACTTGGATTAAAGGCATGCGCCAGCATACCCTACTTAACTCTCCTTTTTAAAAATAAGAAAAATAAGCTTTGTAGCCCAGGGAGGGAGCTTTGTAGCCCTGGGAGGAAGCTTTGTAGCCCAGGGAGGGAGCTTTGTAGCCCAGAGAGGGAGGCGCACGCCTTTAATCCCAGCACCGGAGAGTCAGGAGGATCTCTGTGACTTCACGGTCTGCCAGGTCTACATTTCCGAGGACAACAGCCTGGACCCTGTCTCCAAAACAAAACAACACCACCAAAAATTAAGCTTTATTATACAAAACGCTGCAAGTAATTAAAAAAAATCACACACCAAAATTAATCAGACCGAAAGCTTATGCAGCATGATGAACTAATTCACAGCTTGAGCTGGCGTCTCAATCTTCCTCGGACTCCACAGATGTCCAAGATGTCAAAGTCTCTTTAGGCTGACTCAATTGACCAGAGTGTGCTATCCTCGACCAGCCCTAGGAGACTTTAAGACAGGAACCCCTCCCTCCCAAGACCCAGAGACACACTCAGTTGCATTCCTGTCCTTGAGGTGATTGACAGCTGGTCGTGAAGCCAGCAGACCTGGCAGCATGTGTGTGCTTGTGTGTGAAGTCAGCATTAGGTGTCTGCAGGCATTTCTGCCTTGGTTATTCAGGTGATCTCTTATTTTTACCTAGAACTCACCCATCTGGCCAGGCTGTCTGATCAGGGAGCCCCAGAATCCCCGTCTTCACCCCCCCCCCCAGTGCTGGATTACAAGTGCATCACCACGTTTAGCTTTG